AAACCGAAACGCGGGTTTCCCATAGGAATGCATTGAAACCAATTCGTCCGTTCCGGAGGTCATAAAAAAGTTAAAAAAAAAAGTCTTTTATCTGTTCAAAAATCTTTATAAAGTGCAATTTAAAGGCATAAATACTGTACAGGGACATGAGTGAAAAAAAAATCGTAAATGCATTAAAAACCAAATAATTTGTTCCAGAGATCCGAAAAAAAGTAAAAAAAAAAGTTTGCTGTTCAAAACGCTTTATAAAGTGCATTTTAAAGGCATAAATACTGCACAGGGACATGATTAAAAATTAATTCGTAAATGCACTGAAAACCAATTATTCCGTTTCCAGAGGTCAGAAAAAAGTAAAAAAAAGTTTTATCTGCTCAAAACTCTTTATAGACATAAATACTGTACGGGTACACGATTCAAAAAAAAAAATTTGTAGATGCATTAAAAACCAATTAATGCGTTCCGAAGGTCAGAAAAAAGTAAAAAAAAAAAAAAAAAAAGAAGTCTTTTATCCAATCAAAACTCTTTATAAAGTGCACTTTAAAGGCATAAATACTGTACAGGGACATGATTAAAAAAAAATTTAAATACATTGAAAACCAATTAATCCGTTCGTATTGTGAAAAAAATTCGTAAACCGAGGCATTATATTCAATGGATTTTTATTCGTAAAAAAATACCAAAAATTCCCTGTTAACCGCGGCGTTCGTAAACCGAGGTGCGCCTGTATTTTCTTTCCTTTTTTATACATTAAAGTGGAAATAAACTCTTTGAACCAGCATGAACTATCTTTAATAGACGTGCAGAATGAAAAAATGTGTTTTGTATCGTTTTGGATCGATTCGTTAAGTTACTACTGTCATTTAGTTGACTTTGTAACGAAATTCGTTTATTCGCATTCGACCGGATTTGAATTTTTTTCCATGGATGGATAGATGGAAACATGGATGGATGGGGCGATGGATGGATGGAAACATGGATGGATGGGCCATGGATGGATGGATGGAAACATGGATGGATGGGCCATGGATGGATGGAGACTAGGATGGAAATATGGATGGATGGGCCATGGATGGATGGAGACTAGGATGGATGGGCCATGTATGGATGGATGGAGACATGGATGGATGGGGGAATTTGCTTTAAATATGAAAAATGGATTAAATAGCGTGTTTGGTTTGTGGTGCTCAGACGCAGTTGACTTTCGCTTCGCCATTATACTCATTAAGTTACCATTTCTTGTATACAATGTAACATTTGGAATGCAATACATGAATTACTGCGACCACGAAGGTGTAATCGCTCTGTTTCTCACACAGATTTCAAAGAATGTTTTTCCCTGTATGATAAGAAGGGAAAAGGCAAGATTCCTGTTGGGGACCTGATGACCGTCATGCGTTGTCTGGGGACATGTCCCACCCCCAGTGAAGTCAGTCGTCACCTGCAGGCTCAGAAAATTGGTATGAACCAGTGAGAAATCCCTATTGTTTATTAAATGCAGGGAAGGGGGGGGGACGATAAAAACAAACAGACAGACATACCGGAACTGATCTGCTGACTTGGGGCTCATGGGCACAGGCGTTTTGCATCTGTATTGTTGTTCTTCTCCATACGAGTCACTGGGGAATACGTCCTAATTAGTGCCACGCAGTATGATGATAATGAACACATAAATATGACCGTATATTAAAAATAAATATATAAAAATCCATAAATATTAATAATAACCCGCCCCCAGGTGCCCGTATTGTCTCGGAACCTTATATATTTACGATGTGACGTTCATGACTAGGGTGACCCATGTGTCTCCAAGTCCTTCTACATCTCACCATAACTACCCTTCCCAACGTATACTAAGAAATGACCAAAGACCCGATTTGGAGAAAATTGTCCAACTTGGCCGTTTATGAACACATAAAACCAAAATAACATTCCTAAAAACAGGAAAACACATACATGAACCAACTGCCATAACATACAGGTTGCCGGTCTTGGGAGGCACTTGAAACCAACATCAGGTTGACTATCTGTGTTACCACTTCACGATCCCCAGCCGCAAAACACCGGCTCGGGGTCAAACCCACCTTTCTGCAGATACCAACTTGTTACCACTTCCCAGATAATACCCTATGAACTGGGATCCAACGGAGGACGCCATACCTTAGATGGGTCACTGCTATGAACTGCTCCGAAATGTTAACGCCTCTAAAGACCCCAATCGCCACAGCTCGCAGGTGTGACACCTTACATGTGAGAGCCCTGCCACCAACACAGAGCCCACTGAAACCCCATCCTGAATGCCCAAAAACTACAAATCTGTGCCCACCGCATTCAAGTGTACCCCATCGCTCAAGGTCCCGATGCCGAACAACAAAACCCCCATTGTGCACCACAAAACCACCAACTTCCTTATTAACCTTGTTCCGTGCCTTTCTCAACCACTCAACGAACCGGGCAAAACGCCATGACGTGCGACCAACAAACTCAGACCAAATGACCACCATGCCCGGGAAGGTAGTGCGCAGTCGGAGAAAATCATACTTAATGTCCCAGATGAGATGCCGCATGGAGCGAATCCCCAGGTCGTTACCACCCGCATGCAAAACCACTATGTCAGGGGCCCTGTCTAGCTGAGCGAAACAATGCAGTTCCGGCAGGACCCTGCACCATAGCAAGCCTGGGACACCTATCCACCTAACCAAGGCCTCTGACCTAGAAAAAACCCATTAGGCCGGACATCCACCCACTTACCCCCCCAAAAAACAAAAGGAGTGTCCCAAAATCCAAACGAGGCAAGTGCCAACATCTGGAAAAACAAAACAAGACAAGAAACAAATAAAAGAAAACAGGACACCCGGCAACACGGGACGGACAAACACACGAAAAAACAACAGGAAAGAAACAAAAAGCAGCCTAGACCAAGCGAGGACACACATAAAGATGACTAGATTCCCACCGACCAATACGCCTCAAAACCGAGTCCTCCAAACCCCACCTGGCAGCCTTGGTGGCCGACCCGATGCGGAAGGAGTGTGAAGAGTAGCTACTGGCATCATGACCGGCAGCCGACAAGCAGTGCCGAAAAACTGAACCATGGACATGTCTGAACCATCCTGGTGCATAAGGAAGGAACTGTTTCGCTGCGGCCGAAAACGTAAATATTCCTCAACAGCGGAAACGGGGGAAAGAAGAGAACCACACACTTTGTAAAGGCGCAAATACGTTCCCCTGCCCAGCTGATCCGTCTTGGAACGGCAAACGAAGAGGACCACCAACGAAGGGGAACAGTCGATATCCTGGAACAATAGACCACCCAGACCAGCTTTGGAAGGACTGACCAACTTGCTGATACGAAGAGGACCACCAACGAAGGGGAACAGTCGATATCCTGAAAAAACAAACAACCCAGACCAGCTTTGGAAGGACTGACCAACTCGCTGATACGAAGAGGACAACCAACAAAGGGGAACAGTCAATATCCTGCAACAATAGACCACCCAGACCAGCTTTGGAATGACTGACCAACTCGCTGATACGAAGAGGACCACCGACAAAGGGGAACAGTCGATATCCTGCAAAAACAGACAACCCAGACAAGCTTTGGAAGGACTGACCAACTCGCTGATATGAAGAGGACCACCAACAAAGGGGAACACTTGATATCCTGCAACAATAGACCACCCAGACCAGCTTTGGAAGGACTGACCAACTCACTGATATGGAAACCCCCATAGAACACCAACACGAACACCATCCGAAACAACAGGGACCTCATAACGAGAGGAGAAGACAGAATTAACTTCGACCCAACATCTTCTGCAAGATACTGAAGGGCACAGGATGGCGACCGTCCAACCTGCAGGAACCTCTCCGATAACCCCGCAGAGCCTGCCGGACCACAAAGTCCTTGGTGAAATCCCGCCCGCCTGACAATTTAAACAAGGCCAACCCTGCAAATTTCAGATTGATGGCCGAGTTCAAAGAGATAAAGTACAAGGGGGGGCAAAAGATCCATACCTACACAAACCTGCGACAGAAGGTCCCTCCATTCACGCCACACCTTTTTTTCTATTCAGTTCCTTTATTTTCTATTCAGTTTTACTCTATTGTTTTACTATATTCTTTTATTGTATTTTCTATTCTATTCTCTTCTTTTTGTTTTCGAATTCTATTTAGTTTTTTGAATTTGATGCGATTAGAATTTCAGACGTAATTCCATTTCACTTTTTAGGATTCGTTTAAATTCGTTACTATTGTAATTCGGACACATCCGAGTCTCCGAATAATGAAAAATGCATCCGAATTTCAATTCGTAATAAAAACGAACTGCACATGTCTCCTCAATTTCTGGCTGTACTGCACAACACTGCTGAATGTCCCACAGGATCTCTATACTGTTGGTGACCTGCACTCCTTCCAGAGTTAAAAGCTACACAAAGTCACCGGGATCATCTGCTCACTCAGCCACAGGATCATCGTTGCCTCCTGCCGATACCCACCAGGCTCTTCCTAGTGAGGGAGATGTAGACTCACACCACCATAGGACAGATGGAATCCTTCCCACCAAGTTCCTCCTGGCTCTCTTCAGTGAGACCCAACTCGATTCCCAGACACGGATCTGCAAGTAGGCCCCTGAGAAAAGCCTAGCTGGGACCTCAGCGTCCTCCTCACAGCTTCTTCTAGGACCAGGGGCAGAGCCTCTTCACAGGGGTCTCCTCCTGCAGGGACTGGACCCAGGAACACTGCTCCTTGCTGCCACAGTTCTCGGGTTATTTATAGGGCTCTCCCTCCACCTTCTGGGCACACCTCCCCAGGGATTGGCTGGAGTACCATAAATATTCAGGCTGCCTTCTACGTTCTTCCTCCCACTATATGTCTAGACTCCCTAGAAGACAGGCGGAATGTAAACTCAGTGCAGCAGCCTGTGAAACATTAGAGAGCAGCCCTTAAATACTGTAGCCCCCCCAGTACCGGTGACACTCATACAGCCCCAGACCATGATACTCCCACCACCATGGGGCCCCAGACCATGACACTCCACCACCATGGGGCCCCAGACCATGACACTCCCACCACCATGCTTGACTGTAGGCAAGACACACTTGTCTTTGTACTCCTCACCTGGTTACCGCCACACACGCTTGACACCATCTGAACCCAATCAGTGTATCTTGGTGTTCATCAGACCCACAGGACACGGTTCCAGTAATCCATGTCCTTAGTCTGCTTGTCTTCAGCAAACTGTTTGCAGACTTTCTTGTGCATCATCTTTAGAAGAGGCTTCCTTCTGGGACGACAGCCATGCAGACCATGTTGATGCAGTGTGCAGCGTATGGTCTGAGCACTGACAGGCTGACCTCCCACCCCTTCACCCTCTGCAGCATGCTGGCAGCACTCATACGTCTATTTCCCAAAGACAACCTCTGGAAATGACACTGAGCACGTGCACTCAACTACTTTGGTGGACCATGGTAAAGCCAGTTCTGAGTGGAGTCCTGTTAAACCGCTGAAGGGTCTTGGCCACCATGCTGCAGCTCAGTTTCAGGGTCTTGGCAATCCTCTTATAGCCTAGGCCATCTTTATGTAGAGCAACAATTTCTTTTCTTCAGATCCTCAGAGTTCTTTGCATGAGGTGCCATGTTGAACTTCCAGTGACCAGTATGAGAGAGTGAGAGCGATAACACCAAATGTAACCCACCCGCTCCCCATTCACACCTGAGACCTTGTAACACTAATGAGTCACATGACACGGGGGAGGGAAAATGGCTAATTGAGCCCAATTTGGACCTTGTCACTTAGGGGTGGACTCACTTTTGTTGCCGGCGGTTTAGACATTAATGGCGGAGTGTTGAGTTATTTTGAGGGGACAGAAAATTTACATGTTATACAAGCTGTACACTGACTACGTCACATTGTAGCAAAGTGTCATTTCTTCAGTGTTGTCACATGAAAAGATATAGAATCAAATATTTACAAAAATGTGAGGGGGAGGGGCTCACTTCTGGGAGATACTGTATTTTATAGCAAAATGTAGAAAAATATTGGGTTTGTTTTTTTATTTTGGGTCTTTTTTCATTTACATTGTATAAAATTAAAATTAAAAAAAAAAAACAGTGGTGATCAAATACCACCAAAAGAAAGCTCTATTTGTGTGAAAAAAATTATATAAAAAAATCATATAAATTTTGTTTGCATATAGCGTTGCATGATCGCTCAATCGGCAGTTAAAGTGTTACTAAACCCCAGACCCGGCGTTCACTGAATCCGCACTCCAGTGTCCGGACTGGAAGGGGATGAAAGTGTCCGGACTGGAAGGGGGGGAAAGTGTCCGGACTGGAAGGGGGGGAAAGTGTCCGGACTGGAAGGGGGGGAAAGTGTCCGGACTGGAAGGGGGGGAAAAGTGTCTGGACAGGAAGGGGGGGAAAGTGTCCGGACTGGAAGGGGGGGAAAGTGTCCGGACTGGAAGGGGGGGGGGGGGGTGAAAGTGTCCGGACTGGAAGGGGGGGGAAAGTGTCCGGACTGGAAGGGGGGGGAAAGTGTCCGGACTGGAAGGGGGGGGGAATGTGTCCGGACTGGAAGGGGGGTGAAAGTGTCCGGACTGGAAGGGGGTGAAAGTTTCGGACTAGAAGGGGGTGAAAGTGTCCGGACTAGAAGGGGGGGAAAGTGTCCGGACTAGAAAGGGGTGAAAGTGTCCGGACTAGAAGGGGGGGAAAGTGTCCGGACCGGAAGGGGGTGAAAGTGTCCGGACTGGAAGGGGGGGGGAAAGTGTCCGGACTGGAAGGGGGTGAAAGTGTCCGGACTGGAAGGGGGTGAAATAGTGTCCGGACTGGAAGGGGGGAAAGTGTGTCCGGAACGGACTGGTTCCGGCCTGGAGGGGGTGAAAGTGTCCCGGACTGAAGGGGTGAAAGTGTCTGGACTGGAAGAGGAGGAAAGTGTCCGGACTGGAAGGGGGTGAAAGTGTCCGGACTGGAAGGGGGTGAAAGTGTCCGGACTGGAAGGGGGGGGGAAAGTGTCCGGACTGGAAGGGGGGAAAGTGTCCGGACTGGAAGTGATTAAACTCTTCCCACACATGAGGTTGGTTTTGTGTGTGCGGCAGATAATATTTTTGTCTTTAGTGTGTAGCTATGGAAGCCCGTAGGCATTTAGCATGTATATTTTCTCCTCCCCCCCCCCCAAAAAAAAAAACTGCTTTCAAAGCAACAGAACCAAAATTAGTTTGATGTGACATTATATTTATATCATGTAAACAGCTCAGTCATGAAAACTGTCTTTCTTTGTTTTAAGGTGGTTGTATGCCTCTGAAATGAAAAAAAAAAATGAACAAAGCACATCCTTCTATAGTGTGTACTTGCCTCAGTCCAAAGCACCCGGTGTGATTTCTATCTTCTCTCTCATTCTTCTGCTGTCTGCATGAGTGTCTTCTGAGATACCAGACAATCTCGGGAGACGGCCCCCGCCTCCCTCCAGCACACAGCAGGTGATTGACAACCTCAGCTGTGCATGTTTCCCTAGTGTAGAGGGGCGGGTGTGTACACTCTTTCCACTCAGGTCTCAGATTACACTCTGTGCAGTATGTGACATCAGACCCCCCCCCCCGCACGAGCGTTCTGGAGCTCAGAAATGCTATATCCAGAAAATGTGGCGATAAACTGACCACACATGATGATTTAAATTTTTCGTTAATGTTATTTTCTCGTTTTCTACAGCGAAAGACGGGAGGTGGATTTCTCTACATTTCTGACCATCATGTACCGACAACAAAAACAGGAAGACCCGGAAAATGAGATCATGGTAGCCATGCTGATGAGCGACCGGGAAAAGAGCGGATTGATTCCATTGGCTGAGCTCAAGTCCAAACTTACCAAGATGGGTGAGAAGCTAAGCCCGGAGGAAGGTAAGTTTTCATAAACATGTTTTTATTTTAATTTTCAGTAGCCTCAATATTATCAAAGATGGAAAAAAAAGAAAAAAAAAATAGGGTTTTTGTACTCACCATAAAATCCTTTGAATGACACAACTTTATTAAGCAAAAGCAGCCAAGGGTCATACTGCCACCTACAGGACAAAGGACACTAGGCTTATAGATACTGAAGGCCAACCCCACAGAGGCTATGACTACCCCCCCCCCCCCCCCTCCCCAATCTCACAAATCCTCAGTTGTAGAAGAGAGTCCTAAGGCTCCGTTCACACCTACAGTGGATATATAAAAAATCTTCACACCGCCCTGATGATAAAATTTCAGGTTTCTGTGATGTAAAAGAAAATGAGACAACGATCAATCATTTCAGAACTTTTTCCACTTTAATGTGACCTATAAACTGTACAACTCGGCTGAACAACAAACTAAAATCTTTTAGCTGGAGGGAAGTAAAAATAAAAAACTAAAATAATCTGGTTGCATAAGTGTTCACACCCTTACACTAATCCTTGGCTGAAGCCCCTTTTGATGTGATTCAGGCACTCAGTATTTTTGGGGAGGTCTATCAGCACGGCACATCCTAACTTGACAATATTTGCCCGGCTCTTCCTTGCAGAAACGTTTCAAATCTGTCAGATGGTGAGGGCATCTCCTGTGCCTTGCCCTTTTCAGATCACCCCACAGATCTTCCATTGGATTCAGGTCTGGGGTCTGGCTGGGCCATTCCAAAACTTTCCTCTTCTTCTGGTGAAGCCATTCCTTTGTGGATTTGGATGGATGCTTTGGGTGGTTGTCATGCTGGAAGATGAAGTTCCTCTTCATGTTCAGCTTTCTAGCAGAAGCCTGAAGGTTTTGTGCCGATATTGACTGGTATTTGGAACTGTTCATAATTCCCTCTACCCTGACTAAGGCCCCAGTTCCAGCTGAAGAAAAACAGCCCCAAATCATTATGCTGCCACCACCATGCTTCACGGTGGGTATGGTGTTCTTTTGGTGATGGGCAGTGTTGTTTTTGCGCCAAACATATCTTTTGGAATTATGGCCAAAAAGTCCATCCTTGGTGTCATCAGAGACCAGAACACATTTTCCCACATGCTTTTGGGAGACTTCAGATGTGTTTTTGGATATTTTACTTCGTAAGAAAAGGCTTCCATCTTGCCACTCTACCCCATAGCCCAGACATATGAAGAATACGGGAGATTGGTGTCACATGGACCACACAGCCAGGACTTGCCAGATATTCCTGCAGATCCTTTCATGTTGCTGTAGGCCTCTTAGCCGCCTCCCAGACCAGTTTTCTTCTCGTCTTTTCATCCATTTTGGAGGGACGTCCAGTTCTTGGTGATGTCACTGTTATTGTTCTGTTGGTGATGTCACTGTTATTGATGTCACTGTTGCAAAAATATCTGGTTGCGCTAATAAAAATATATCCAAATAAATATATCTCAATGAAATCACATATAAATAATATAAAGTCCAAAACAAAAGTCCAAAGTGATATAATGTATAATATTTGTAGAATTGCTCAAACAACTTCCACCAGAGTGAATCCACCACCAAAAACGGTTAAATAAACTCAGCCGAGCAATGTGCTGATCGTGTTATAAATCAACATATAGCGCTTGCTGCTCTGGGAGCGATGATCTGCAAATGGTTGAAGTAACACTAGGAACTTTAAATCTGGTCTCCAGGGAGCAATACTCTGCAGGACTGTGTACCATATAGATCCAAAATCAGCCACCGAATCCTTAACCCCTCGCCTACAGGGCACTTCTACCCCCTTCCTGCCTACAGGGCACTTCTACCCCCTTCCTGCCTACCGGGCACTTCTACCCCCTTCCTGTCCACCGGGCACTTCTACCCCCTTCCTGCCTACAGGGCACTTCTACCCCCTGCCTACAGGGCACTTCCCCCCTTCCTGGGCACTTCTACCCCCTTCCTTCCTACAAGGCACTTCTACCCCCTTCCTGCCTACCGGGCACTTCTACCCCCTTCCTGCCTACAGGGCACTTCTACCCCCCTTTCCTGCCTACTGGGCACTTCTACCCCCTTCCTGTCCACCACGGGCACTTCTACCCCCTTCCTGCCTACAAGGCACTTCTACCCCCTTCCTGCCTACAGGGCACTTCTACCCCCTTCCTGCCTACCGGACACTTCTACCCCCTTCCTGCCTACAGGGCACTTCTACCCCCTTCCTGCCTACAGGGCACTTCTACCCCCTTCCTGCCCACCGGCCTACAGGGCACTTCTACCTACCCCCCCTTCCTGCCCACCGGGCACTTCTACCCCCTTCCTGCCCACCGGGCACTTCTACCCCCTTACCCCACTTCTACCCCCTTCCTGCCTACAGGGCACTTCTACCCCCTTCCTGCCTACCGGACACTTCTACCCCCTTCCAGTCCAGGCCAATTTCCAGCTTTCAGCGCTGTTGCACTTTGAATGACAATTGCGCGGTCATGCAACACTGTACCCATATGAAATGTTTATCTTTTTTTTGAGACAGATAGAGCTTTCTTTTGGTGCTATTTAATCACCTCAGGGGATTTTTATTTTTTCTTAAACCAAAAACCACTGAAAATTTTGAAAAAAAAAAACCATTTTTTTCTTAGTTTTTGTTATACAATTTTGTAAATAAGTGATTTTTCTCCTCCTTCACTGATGTGCGTTAATGAGGCTGCACTGCATGGGCACTGATAGGTGGCACTGATGAGGAGGCACTGGTAGGTTGCACTGATGGGCATTGACAGGCATCACTGATAGGCACTGAAAGGCAGCACTGATACATGACACTGATAGGCAGCACTGAATGGCACTGATAGGTGGCACTGATTGGCAGCTCTGATTGGCATTGATAGGTGGCACTGACGGGTGACATTGAAAGGCAGCTCAGATGGGCACTGATATGTGGCACTGATGTGCACTGGTATGCACTGATATGTGGCATTGATGGGCACTGGCATGTGGCACTGATGAGCACTGACAGTGGCACTTCTGGGGCCACACTGATCATCAGGGCACACTGATCATCAGTGCCCTGATGATCAGTGTACATGTCCCCCTCCACGGAAAGCCGATTACCGGCTCTCCTCTCCTCTGTCAGCGTGACAGCTCGAGAGGAGAGAAATGCCGATAACCGGCATTTCCGTGTTTACATGTGATCAGCTGTGATTGGACACAGTTGATCACATGACCGAGCCGACATCTTTGGCTCTTTCCGTGATCCGCTGTGTCCCTCGGACATCGCCGCGCTGCGCGCGCTCCCTGAGCTGCGCGTGCGCAGTGAGAAATGGTAGGACGTCATATGACGTCCTATCAGAATGAGAGAACCACCTAGCGCCCGTCATTGTACTATAGGGTGAGCGGAAGGTGGTTAAGGTAATCAGACCAACACTCGGGATATAAAGAAATAAAGACTCATGGGACATCATAAAACTTCAGATTTAATAAAAACGATTGCACTTACAAGAAGCGAACAAACAACATGATCTGTAACATAACACGGACCCAGCCTGGCTGCGCATGAGCCATACCAACGACCTAGGAGCATCCTGACGTCACATCCAAAAGGCTCGGACCTACGCGTTTCGTCATCGACGTCCTCACGGAGCAGATGGTTGCGAGACGTCAGACCTTCATTAAATGTTCAGTGCCCTTAAAGCGGACAGCTGACATTAATCAGGATAAATGCTCAATGCACAATCCTTTCATAACGGATCGCCACCGCATACATATAAACAATCATAAACAATAAAAAAAACATAGAAATACTAACATAAGGAGAACCTAAATAAATCCTAGATAAATATATAAACTCAAAATGACAGGAGCAATACCAGATGATAATAGCGAATATTTAAAGGGCCAGTCAAAATGAAAGGGGAAGTCTACCGATCAGATAAAACGATCAATAGATAAACCTATCATTAAAAATGTGTGAGAAAACAGTTACTGTCAATGTCCACATTCAACCCATTGGTTGTATCTAGACACTTCACATTAAAACATAATTGTGACCCGACTTTGTTGACCTTTTATGGTATAGACATGATTAAATCACATTTGAGAGGTACTGACTTAATAAATGACATCTCTAAAAAAGAAACATACTGGATTTATGAACTAAATTCATTGCAACCCAATGGGTTGAATGTGGACATTGACCTTGGCGAGTACAAAAATCCCATTTTCTTTATCATCCATAAGGCCTGGTTCACACCTAAGCGTTTTTAGTGCTTTTTGCAGAGACGTGCTACAGTTCATTTAAGCACTTCCCGTCCGGCCCATGTACATAAATGGCCAGACGGGGGCAGTACAGGAGCGGGTTGCCGTTCATAAATGGTGCTCGTATTTTCAAGCTGTGCGTGCTCCCTGGGAGCACGCGGCACAGCGATCCAGTCCCGCTGTGTCCGGAGGACACAGCAGAACACTGATCGCTGTACGGGACCTCTGTGTGAGGTCCCGATCATGTGATCACTGATTGGCCAATCAGTGATCACATGAGGAGTAGTAAGCAAGATGTCACTTCTGACATCATTGCTTACTACGTGTGAAATCTGTGAATGATCATAGAGTCACATGGTACACGGCTATTCACAATTTTCTTGTACCATGTGACAAGCTGTGACCAATCACAGCTCACACAGTATTTCTCAATGGCTGCAAGAATGCAGCCAGAGTGAAGAAGAAATGATTGCTTTTATAGCCTTTATGGGTGTAAAATCAATCGTGTAAAAAAAAAAGAAAAGAAAAAAAAATCATCACCACCCCCCACAAGTAGTAGAGCGTCACTATGGTGACACTGTACTGCTAGGGTGACGGCATGTTAAAAAAAAAGAAAAAAAAAAACATAAACAGTCCAATCCATGATTCGCCACGACGCATGACAGGGCAATAGGACCTCCAACGGGCTAACGCGTTTCGAGGTCTAGCTTCTTCCTCTGAGCCAATCCCAATGGCCCTCACCACACAATGTAGAAAGTTCTCTTTGGGGTGAACCATACAGTCATGGCCAAAAATCTCGTCCCCCCCGCATTTCTGTCAGATAACGCAACTCTTCGCCCAGAAAATTGCTGCAATGACAAATGTTTCGGCATTCTCATGTTTATTTCTTTTGTTTGTATTGGTGACACAAAAAAAGTGGAGAAACAAAAAGCCAAATCTGACCCAAAATCCTGACAATGAACTGGACAAAATTATTGGCACCTTCTCAAAATTGTAAGAGATAATTACATTCCCAGTCTGTGACGTTCCTGTAATTTGTCATTAGACTCCCCCGTATCCATGACCAGGAGCTGACAACATAGAAATCACACCGACAACCAGGGACAAGGGTGACACATGGCCTCCACCTTTCTATTGTGTGTCTCTGTGTGCCACATGGAGAATGGAGAAGAGGAACAGCAGCAAAGAATTGTCTGAGGATTGGAGAACAAAAATGGTGGAAAAGCATTGACAATCTCAAGGTGACAAGTCCATCTCCAGAGATCTTCATGTTCCTGTGTCCACTGTGCGCAACATTGTCAAGAAGTTTACAGCCCATGGCACTGTAGCTAATCACCCTGGATGGGGATGAAAGAGAAAAACTGATCAAAGACTGCAATGAAGGATTGCTGGAATGGTGGCTAAAGAACTTCCATCAACTTCCAGACAAATTCAATCTGACCTTCAGGCACCAGGTACAACTGTGCCCACTCGCACTATATGTCGCCATCTGAATGAGAAGGGACACTATGGTAGGAGACCTAGGAGGGCCCCACTGCTGACACAGAAATATGGTAGGAGACCCAGGAGGACCCCACTGCTGACACAGAAATATGGTAGGAGACCTAGGAGGGCCCCACTGCTGACACAGAAATATGGTAGGAGACCCAGGAGGACCCCACTGCTGACACAGAAATATGGTAGGAGTCTCAGGAGGACCCCACTGCTGACACAGAAGTATGGTAGGAGTCTCAGGAGGACCCCACTGCTGACACAGAAGTATGGTAGAAGACCCAGGAGGACCCCACTGCTGACACAGAAGTATGGTAGGAGACCCAGGAGGACCCCACTGCTGACACAGAAATATGGGAGGAGACCCAGAAGGACCTAACTGCTGACACAAAAGTATGGTAGGAGACCCAGGAGGAACCCACTGCTGACACAGAAATATGGGAGGAGACCCAGGAGGACCCCACTGCTGACACAGAAATATGGGAGGAGACCCAGGAGGACCCACTGCTGACACAGAAATATGGGAGGAGACCCAGGAGGACCCCACTGCTGACACAGAAGTATGGTTGAGGAGACCCAGGAGGACCCCACTGCTGACACAGAAATATGGGAGGATACCCAGGAGGACCCCACTGCTGACACAGAAATATGGGAGGAGACCAGGAGGACCCCACTGCTGACACAGGAGTATGGGGAGAAGACACAGGAGGACCCCACTGCTGACACAGAAATATGGGAGAAGACCCAGGAGGACCCCACTGCTGACACAGAAACATATTGCCCCCACTGCTGACACAGATTGATTGAGTTTTCCAAAACGTACCTGAGGAAGCCAAAATCCTTCTGGGAGAATGTATAGTGGACAGACAAAACAAAATGGCAGATTTTTGGTAAAGCCCATCATTCTACTATTTTCAGAAAAAGCAATGAGGCCTTTAAAGAGAAGAATCCAGTCCCTCCAGTCACACATGGTGGGGGGGTCACAGTCCCTCCAGTCACACATGGTGGGGGGTCACTGATTTTGGGGTTGCTTTGCTGCTTCAGGCACTGGATGTCTTGGCTGTGTGCATGGACTTATGAAATCTGAAGACTACCAAAGAATTCTGAGGTGCAATGTAGGGCCCGGTGTCAGAAAGTTGGGTCTCCATCAGAGGTCATGGGTCTTCCAGCAGGACAATGACCCAAAGCACACGTCACAAAGCTCCCGGAAATGATTCCAGACATAGCTCTGGAGAGGACTGAACTGGCCAGCAATGAGTCCAGATCTCCATCCCATAGAGCTCCTCTGGAGAGATCTCAGAACATCAGTTGGGAAAAGGAACCTTCCAATGTGAGAGACCCGGAGGAGTTGGAGGAAGAAGAGCGATCCAAAATTCCAGTAGAGAGATGGAAGAAACTCATTGATGGTTACAGGAAGCCATTGATTTCAGTGATTGTTTCCAAGGGGTGTGCTACCAAATATTACATTGAGGGTGCCAATCATTGAGTCCGGTCCATTTTTGGGGTTTTGGGTGGAATGTGTCAGATTTGGCTTTTTGTTTCTCCCCTTTTTTTGAGTCACACCGATACAAACAAAAGAAATTAACACGAGAATGCCGAAACATTTGTGAGAGCAACAATTTTCTGGGTGAAGTTGTGCGTTATCTGACAGAAATGAGGGGGGGCAAGATTTTTGGCCATGACTGTACATCTGATTCTGGGATGAGATACTCGTTGATTTGTTACCTCTTTTGGAACCCAAATGGACCTCTGCCTGCCGATTTCTCAGTGGATTCCTATCATGACCTCCTCACTATGGAAACCCTCACAATGTCCTTCTTTTCTTTTGTACCTTTTGCTTTGGTAAATAAAGCACTAAAAAAAAAAGCTAAAAATCGTCCTCCAGAAATCCCGCGAGCCTCGCCCTCAGCCGGTGTCGTCCTCACAATACATTACGATGTGTTCCTGGGTTTAGATACGTTTTATTGTTTTAATCCTTTCATTCGAAGACCATCCGGCCGGCCGGACATTCAGCCACACTGCGAATCTGTGAATTCCTGCTGCTGGGCTTGGCGACCGCAGATATCAGTCAGTAGACGCTTCCTGCTGAGATCCTAAATGTGGCTGAACGTTCGTCCGAATGGCGGCTTCCCGAGCGGCAGTATCAGGATGTACACGTGTGTGGCAGCCGTGGGTTTGTTTACTAGACATGTGCAGAACGAAAAAATGTGTTTAGTGTTGATTCGTTATTTAAATCATTTAGTTTAATTTGTTTCATTTCATTTTATTCGCTTTCAAATTCGATCGAACTGAATTAAATTAGACCGAATCAAAGTATCAAATCACCATTCAAATTTATTCTATTCGAAAGACGGTTATATTCTTTTCATTTTATTCTGGTCTATTTTTTTTTCTTTTCTATTCTATTCTACTCTATTATATTCCTATCTAGTCTAATATTTTTTTCTATTCTGTTTTACTCTGTTCTTTTATATTCTATTCTGTTTTAATTCTGTTCTATTATTTTTGAACTTCAAATTTTGGAAGGCAGCTATATTCTATTTTTTCTGATCTATTCTATTCTTTTATTTTCAATTCTATTCCCTTATTTTCTATTCTAGTTTATTCTATACTATTCTGTTTTACTCTATTCTATTTAATTTCTATTATATTCCTTTATTTTCTATTCTATTCTGTTCTACTGTATTATTTCCTATTCTATGTTATTCTATTCTTATCGAAATTCAAATTTTGGAAGGCAGCTATATTCTATTTTATTCTAATCTATTCTATTTTTTTCTATTCTATTTTTTTAGTTTCTATTCTGTTTTTTTCTATTATATTCCCTTATTTTCTATTTTATTCTATTATTTTATATTATATTTTATTCTGTTCTGTTTTACTCTATTCTTTTCTATTCTAGTCTGTTTTATTCTATTCTGTTCTTTTTCGAAATTCAGAAGGCAGCTATATTCTATTTTATTCTAATATTCTATTATTTTCCATTCTATTTTATTCTGTTATGTTGTACTCTATTTTCTATTCTAATCCTTTCTATTCTGTTCCTTTATTTTCTATTCTATTTTGTTTTGTTTTACTCTATTCTTGTCTACTGTGTTATTTCTTTTTCTATTCTATTCTTTAGTATTCTGTTCCTTGATTTTCTATTCTATTTTTTTTAATTTTCTATTCTGTCCTGTTTTACACTATTATTTTCTATCCTATTCTTTTCTATTCTGTTCCTTTATCTTCTATTCTATTTTATTCTGTTCCTGTTTGCGAATTTCATTTTGTTTTCAAATTTGATTTCATTTTTTAATTCGAATCGAATTTTGGAAGTAATTTCGTTTTGTTACTTCGCATTCCTTCAAATTTGTTGATATTGTAATTAGAAAATTCCGATACATCCGAATTTCCGAAATTTGATCCAGAACGAAATGAATGTCTATTGTTTACATTCTGAAATGCTGACTTCAGGCTCCCCAGGAAAAAAAAGCGATTATTTTGTCATTTAAACAAATGCAAAATCCGCCATCTAATCGACCTCTAATGTCTCCATAAGGAAAACCTGTAATAATGGATAACCAGCACATTTGTGATATTAACCCCTTTATGACCGCCCGATACATATATTTGGCGGCAAAAGGGTGAGCTGTAACATCAACACATCGCACATACACTGTATTTCCAAAAGTATTGGCCCCGCCCTCCCAATCATGTGATTCAGGTGCTCCAATCCCCTCCATGGACACAGGTGTATACAATCAAGCCCCTAGGCATGCAGACTGCTTCTACAAACATTTGTGAAAGAATGGGTCGCTCTCAGGAGCTCAGTGACTCCAAGCGTGGTCCCGTGATAGGTGGTCACCTGGGCAATAAGTCCATCCGTGACATTTCCTGGCTACTAAATATTCCACGCTCAACTGTTAGTGGGATTATAACAAAGTGGAAGCACTGGGAACAACAGCCACTCAGCCACCAAGTGGTAGGCCACGTCACATGACAGGGCGGGGGTCAGCGCATGCTGAAGCGCACAGTGCGCAGAAGTCACCAACTGTCTGCAGAGTCAATAGCTAAAGACCTCCAAACTTGGTGTGACCTTCAGATGAGCCCAACAACAGTGCGTAGAGAGCTTCATGGAATGGGTTTCCATGGCCGAGCAGCTGCATCCAAGCCTTGCATCACCAAGTGCAATGCAAAGTGTCGGATGCCGTGGTGTAAAGCACACCGCCACTGGACTCTAGAGCAGGGGAGACGTGTTCTCTGGAGTGACCAATCATGCTTCTCTGTCTGGTAATCAGATGGACGTGTCTGGGTTTGGAGGTTGCCAGGAGAATGGTACTTGCCTGACTGCATTGTGCCAAGTGTAAAGTTTGGTGGAGGGGGGATTTATGGTGGGTTGTTTTTCAGAGGTTGGGCTTGGCCCCCTAGTTCCAGTGAAGGGAACTCTTAAGGTGACATTTTGGACAATTTCATGCTCCCAATTTTGTGGGAAGAGTTTGGGGATGGCCCCTTCCTGCTTCAACATGACTGCGCACCAGTGCACAAAGCAAGGTCCATAAAGATATGGAGGAGCCAGTTTGGGGTGGAGGAACTTGACTGTCCTGCACAGAGTCCTGACCTCAACCCCATAGAACACCTTTGGGATGAATTAGAGCGGAGACTGCGAGCCAGGCCTCCTCCCCCGACATCTGTGCCTGACCTGACAAATGTGCTTCTGGAAGAATGGTCCAACCTTCCCATAGACACCCTCCTAAACCTTGAAGATGGCCTTCCCAGAAGAGTTGAAGCTGTTATAGCTGCAAAGGGCGGGGCCAACTCAATATTGAACCCTATGGACTAAGATTGGGGGGGGCCATTAAAGTTCATGTGCGTGGAAAGGGCGGGGCCAACTTAATACTGAACCCTATGGACTAAGACTGGGAGGCCATTAAAGGTCATGTGCATGGAAAGGCCGGCGACCCAACACTTTTGGTGTATGTGTTGCTGGGCGACCATTGTTTATGTGCTGGGAAGGACTCAGCTATCACAGACAGCTCTGGGTCCCCAGCTACAGATCAGTAGTCGGCAGGACCGGTTCCTGATCATGTGATCATTGATCCTTCCTGCTTCCGGGCATTCTGAACTATTTAGAGACACCCGGGTGAGCAGGAAGGGGTTAAAAAATTACTTTTTTTTTAAAGAGTTAAAACTATAGACATTAATGGATCTGCTGTGTAAATGGAGATGGTAACAAGTCTATCTTTTTGCAGTGAACGATCTTTTCCGAGATGTTGAGGTGACCCCTGATGGAATGGTGAAATATGAGGCCTTAGTCCAGAAGATCACACTCCCGATGGCCGACTATTAAACCACACACCGATTTATCTTCTGTTCTCTACATGTTACAAGTTCTCAACCACACAGTGTATGACAGTCATTGACAATCAGAATGTCTTATCATCAGAGGTGCAGGTACTCCCACCTTCTGAGTCACCCCCTTTTCTCCACCCCCTACCCACCTCCAAGCACCATTCCTTGGTTCCACCCCAATCACCTTCCAGTATAATCCTTTGGTTCCACCCCCTACCCACCTCCAAGCACCATCCTTTGGTTCCACCCCCTACTCACCCCTAAGCACCATCCTTTGGTTCCACCTCCTACCCACCTGCAAGCACCATCCTTTGGTTCCACCCCAATCACCTCTGAGCACCATCCTTTGTTTCCAACTCCTACCCACCTCCAAGCACCATCCTTTGCTTCCACTCCCTACCCACCTTCGAGCACCATCCTTTGGTTCCACCCCCTACCCCCCTCTGAGCACCATCCTTTGGATCCACCCCAATCACCTCTGAGTACCATCCTTTGGTTCCACCCCCTACTCACCTCCGAGCACCATCCTTTAGTTCCACCCCCTACTCACCTCTGAGCACCATCCTTTGGTTCCACCCCCTACCCATCTCCGAGCACCATCATTTGGTTCCAACCCCTATCCACCTTCGAGCACCATCCTTTGGTTTCACTTCCTACCCCCCTCTGAGTACCATCCTTTGGCTCCACCCCCTACCCACCTCCGAGCACCATCCTTTAGTTCCACCTCCAACCCAACTCCAAGCGCCATCTTTTGGTTCCACCCCCTACTCACCTCCGAGCACCATCCTTTGGTTCCACCCCCTACCCACCTCTGAGCACCATCCATTGGTTCCACCCCCTAGCCACCTCCGAGTACCATCCTTTGGTTCCACTCCCTACCCACCTCCAAATGCCATCTTTTGGTTCCACTCCCTACTCACCTACGAGTACCATCTTTTGGTTCCACCCCCTACCCACCTCTGAGCACCATCCTTTGACCCACCTCCCAGTACCGCTCCTATTATAGAATACAGAGCCAAGTATCACTTTGTGGTGCTGCGTAAATTGCATGGAATTCGTTAATGATAACAAGAAAAGCAGTTCCTTTGGTTCCAAATAAATTTTCCCTGAAACCAGCAACATAAACCCCCCAGCAACAATAGATCCCATGCAATGAAATACTCCCAGGAACAATAGAGCCCACCAGTAACAATAGATCTCCCAGCAGCCAGCATTAATATACCCCCACGGCAGTCAGCAACAATAGCCTCCTTACGTCAACAGTAGATCCCTCCCAGCAACAATTAATCCCCCTGCAACAATAGACCTCTCCCTCAACAGTAGATTTCTCCCATCAACAACTGACCCTTTAGCAACAATAGACCCCCCTCCCTCAAAAGTAGATCTTTCATCCGCAACAACTGACCCTCTATCAACAATAGATGCATTCCTCAACAGTAGATCCTTCTCAGCAACAACTGACCTTCCAGCAATAATAGACCCCTCCCTCAACAGTAGATTCCTCCTTGCAACAAGTGACCCTTCAGCAACAATAGACTTATTCCTCAACAGTAGATCCTTCTCAGCAACAACTGACCCCCAGCAACAATAGACCCCTCCCTCAACATTATATCCTTCTCAGCAACTGACCCCCTAGCAACAATAGACCCCTACCTCAACAGTAGATCCTTCTCAGCAAAAACTGATTCCCCCAGCAACAATAGACCCCTCCCTCAACAGTAGATCCTTCTCAGCAACAACTGATTCCCCCAGCAACAAAAGACCCACCCCTCAACAGTAGATCCATGCTAGCATCAACTGACCCCTCAGCAACAATAGACCCCTCCTTCAACTGTAGATCCTTCTCAGCAACAACTGACCTTCCAGCAACAATAGGCCCCTCCCTCAACAGTAGATCCTTCTCAGCAACAATAGATTTCTCCCTCAACAGTAGATACCTCCTAGCAACAACTGACCCCCCGGCAACAATGGACCTCTCCCTCAACACTAGATTCTTCCCAGGACCAAAGACCCCTCCCATAACAGTAGGTCCTTCCCAGCAACAACTGAACCCCCCCAGCAACAATAGACCCCTCCCTCAACTGTAGATCCTTCTCAGCAACAACTGACCTTCCAGCAACAATAAATCCCTCCCTCAACAGTAGATCCTTCTCAGCAACAATAGATCCCTCCCTCAACAGTAGATACCTCTTAGCAACAACTGACCCCCCCCCAAGGCAACAATAGACCTCTCCCTCAACACTAGATTCTTTCCAGGACCAAAGACCCCTCCCTTAACATTAGGTCCCTCCCAGCAAAAACTGAACCCCCCCCCAGCAACAATAGACCCCTCCCTCAACAACAGATCTTTCCCAGCAACAATAAATTGTTTCCTGCAACAACTGACCCCCCCCCAGCATCAATAGACTTCCGCCTCAACAACAGATCCACTCCAATGACAGTAGATCCCCCAGCAGCCGGCACCAATGGACGCTCCGGCACACCCCAGCACCCCTTACCAGTACATACATTCAGTGCTGGAGATGTCCATTGATGCTGGCTGCTGGAGGATCTATTGTTGAGGGAGGGGTCTATTGTTGAGGGAGGGGTCTATTGTTGCTGGACATCAATTGTTGCTGCGAAGGATCTACTGTTGCATCCCCCCCAAAAAAAGCCTTGCTTATTAGTATGACTACAGTGAGGTGTTAGTGAATTCCTGTAAATGACTGCATATAAAAATGTACTGCGGTAATAATAAAAGTATAAAATATCCAAATCCTTGTCGTCATTTTTCATTACAACGGGTTCACACCTCAGCGTTTTGCAGAAACACACAGCAGTCCATTTAAAATGGTTTCCTATGGGAAAGTTCACAGCTCCGCGTTTTTGGTTCTATAGACTTCAATGGAAATGCTGAAGAAAAGCATGTATTGCGTTTTTGATGCGTTTTAAATCTGCCTAGCAACAAGGAAAATAAAATACCAATGAAGAAAAAAAAAAACGCAAAACACATCAAAAATGCAGAAAAAACGCCAAATGCAACGCAAAACGCAATGCAGAAACACCTCAAACGCAAACTACATAGGTGTGAACCTAGATTGAGGCTAGAATCACATCTATGCAGGTTGCGTTTGAGCCATTTCTGCATTGCATTTTTAATGTGTTTTTTATGAGTTTTACAGGGTTTTTTCATTTCTTTAAATTTTTCTTATTGCTAGGCAGATTTAAAACGCAAAACGCAACAAAAATGAAGCAAAAGACGCACTACATGCTTTTCTGCAGCATTTCCATTGAAGTCTATAGAACCAAAAACGCACCGGGTGAAAACGCGGAGATGTGAACCCGTCCCATAGGAAATCATGGTAAATGGACTGTACTGCGTTTCTGCAAAACGCAAAAAGCTGCAGAAAGGGCATCGGTGTGAACCCGGGGTAAGAAATTGCTCCAGACCAGGGAAGGTTTTATTATAAAGGGTCTCGGCCAGTACTCACATCATGGGAAGATGCCGGCACTGACACCGATTTACTAAAGGAGTGGAGAATCGTTACTCCATAAACAGAATGAAGATTCACTTCGATGATCCAATGATGAGAACAGAATATTCCTCGTTCTTTCATCTGCACATCGCTGGAAGTGAACACAGCGACAGTCTGAGCGAACGTTCTCAGCTCGAATAGAACAGAAAGAATAGAACAGATTAAAATAGAAAATAAAATAAATAGAATAGAAAATAAAAAAAATAAAAGAATAGAATAGAAATAATAAAATAGAAAAGCATAGAATAGATTAGAACAGTATAGAATAGAAAATAGCCATCTTCCAAAATTTTGAATTTGAAAAAGAATACAATAGATTAAATCAGAAAATAAAATAAAGACATAAAATAGAAAATAAAAGAATAGAATAAAAAAGAATAGAATAGAAAATAATAAAATAGAAAAACGTAGAATAGATTAGAACAGAATAGAATAACATAGAAGAATACAGTAAAATAGAACAGAATAGAATTGAAAATAAAATAATGGAATAAAATAGAACAGAAAATAAAGGAATAAAAAAAGAATAGAAAGAAAATAAATAGAATAGAAAATAAAATAATAGAATATAAAATAATAAAATAGAAAAGAAAAACTATAGAATATAATATAGCCATCTTCCGAAATTTCAAAAAGAATAGAATAAATCAGAAAAGAAAATAAAGGCATAAAATAGAAAATAAACGAATAGAATAAAAAATAATACAATAGAAAATAATAAAATAGAAAAACATAGAATAGATTAGAACAGAATAGAATAACATAGAAGAATAGAGAAAAAAAGGAAAAAAAAATGGACTTGAAAAAATAATAATGGAATAAAATAGAATAGAAAGTAATGAAGAATAGACTAGAATAGGAAAAAATGTAATTGAATAGAATAAAATAGAAAGAATATAGCCGTCTTCCTAAATTCGTATTTTGAATAGAATAGAACTGTAACAGAACTGACCCCAGACTACGTTTGAGTACTTAGGTTAGAATAGAGCTTCCCCGTCCGAACACCGACCACAGACACCACAGCCAACCATACAAGACTAGACGACACCAATCTTGAAGTAAACCAGGAAGTAGACTAGTTTATTTGAACACAGATACAAGATATATACACTCAGGGGACAACCCCCCTCCCTGCATAATGACACAGGGTGGGGCAATCTACATTTAGTAACAAGAGATACACCAGCAGACAGTCCCATCAGGAGGGAGGGCTGCTGGAGACACCCCCCACCAAGCCAATACACATAAACACATACATCCCATAATAGTTTGCTCCCAAGCAAGGCACACAATATAACAATGGGATGCAACCACATGGCATTAAACAATTAACCCCCCACCCCAATATTAGGACAGATCACCCTGCACCCCTAACAGGCACAGGGTGACTTACACATAATAGGGATATGGGGAGCTGAGACAGGGGTCTCCCCACCTCCCCACAGTGAGCTGTGTTCCATGGTCCCCCCACCCAAAGTGACTC